CCAAAACCTGGCAGGTCCTGGCTGGAGAAGTAAGATTGGATGAGGTTGAGCTGTTGGGGAGTGAAGCTGTGCGGGAAGGAGAAATGAGGTTGTACCGCAAGATAAACGAGGTGGTACTGTCAGGGAATGAGGGGGTACTAGGAGGCAAGGTGAGGCTGCATTACTAGATAAATGAGGTTGTACTGTCAGGGGGATGGAGTGTACTTGTAGGAGAGATGACGTCCTGCTGGATCGGCTGGGTTGCACCATCGGAGAACACAGCCACACCACAGGAGGAAGGAGCGTGTCCGACTTGGAGAATAAATGAGGGTGTCCTGCTGGATAAATGAGGGGCCCCGTCAGGTGAATGGAGTGCTGTTAGCAAATGAGGTTGTACTTGCTGGATAAATGGGACTGGTGTGCTGGATAAATGGGGTTGTGCTGTCAGATGAATGCATTACTGCTCGTGGGCGAAGGGTGTCCTGGGAATAGATGAGGGTGTCCTGATGGATAGATGAGCTGTCACCGCCAGATGGATCAGACCCTATCCGTGGGGAAGGCGCCAAGGTCGAGGTCATTCTGACCTGCTGAAGCTCTCGGAGTGTCTTCTGGCCTTGGGGAACAGTGTTGTGAGAGATCTGGGTGTGAGCCAGCCTGGGGCAATCTGGGAGCAGGTGGAGACCTGAGAGTCAGTAGCTGCCTGTGACCCCTTCTTCAGCATGCTGGAAAGCCTGTCCTTTCTCCACTTTGGTGGGCCTGACTTTTCCTGCATCTCTGCTTGCTGTTTGTTCATTCATCCTGAGTTTACTTCCTAACCTAGTTCAGAAAAGTCCCTTTTGTGTGCCAGCCAGGGCTAGTTCACTCAGATTCCCCCTACAGCCCAGTATCATGTATGTATGTCTCTTATTCCTTCACTGAACAAGCTTTTAAGTGCCTAGTATATGCCAAACACATGGAGTAAAGAAAAAATGGGGTGGGGATAGGTCACTACCCTTACAAAAGTCCTAATGCAAGGCCATCAGACAGTCAGTAAATGATCAACAAGTTACACAGAAGCTGAGTATCCCTTACCCCAAAAATGCTGGGCCACAGATGTGTTACCAGACACAAAACTCCTTTGGATTTGGGGGTATTTGCATAGAATTGGAACATCCCTAACCCACAAGTCTGAGAGCTATAGCTTAAAAGTTGGCAGATTTTGGAGCATTTTTCAGTTATAAGATTCTCAAGCTAGTATTCATTAGGTACTCATTTCAACTTGTATTAACCAGAAGGGGACAGCCTTAGAAAAATTCAGACTGGAGAAAGGGGGATGAGAGAATTCTGTGAGCGTCCAGAGGGAAAGACATCTGGCCTGGCAGGTTGGAGGCAAAGGAGAGAGTGTGGAGGGGAACACCTCAGAGGTCATGGAGGGTGTGTCGGCTGTGACTGGGCCTTTGTTCACTGAGGCATGGGGGGGGGGTGGCTGGGGATTGGGGAGGATCTCAGGTGGTTAAGCATCATTGTGTGAAGATGCTGCAGGGAAGCAAAGGTGGAAGCCATAGCTGTTAAAGGAACTGGAACTTCAAAGTAACTTGCCCCAGGGTTGTACCACTCCTGTGTGTTGGAGCTGAAACTGACATCTGGATCCAGTGCCAGAGCCCATGCACCTGTCCATATGCCATTCTTGCCAGGCTTCTGTCCCTAGTGGGTGGGCCCAGGAGAGTATTCACCCAGGCCCAGGTTCTGAGGAAGAATGGGGAAGGCATGAGTATAACCTGCTGTGCTTTCTTCTGCCCCTATACTGTTTCCCTGGGGTCTGAAATCAGGAAGGTCCTATCTTCCCTAGGAGACCAAGCCTAGCTGTACATGTGGGATGTGGGAGGCCCCAGAAGCTGAGCCCAGCCCTGGGCATCCAGGGAACTTGGGCATGCCTGGGCCGTGGCTGTGGTGGTGGGTTGCTAAGCGACTCCAAGAGGGAGCCCTGGTTACTGCTGCCTGGCAGAGGCGGCTCCCTCTTCTACCTCCCTCACCTCCTTCATGGCCTCTGACCTCCCAGGAGGCCCTGTGGGCAAGCCAGAGTTGTCATCAGTGCTTGCCACTGGATCTTGGCTGGGAGCTCTGATTGGCACCAGGTGTCTAGGTCCTAAGGAGATATGCTAAGGTGCAGGGTGTGGGCCTCTCTCAGGGGCGTAGCCCTGGTGCACATCTAGTACAGAGCCCAGCTTGGAAGTCAGAGGCCTCAGCTCTAGGCCACCCCTCTGGGTAACCCTGAGCAAAGCCTGGCACCCATCTGCGCTCAGCTGCCCCATCCATCTGGCGTGCAGAACCCCTCCACAGGCCTCATTCATGGAGAGTGAAGGTGCTGAGTGGGCAGGGCTTCCCCACACTAGGGCTCGAGTGTATAATGATTCAGATTCGCACCAGGTTTCATTTATGAAAAAAGAATCCTGCTTGGCTATGTTCTTTCTTTTCCCTGGGTTGGGAAAGCCATGGCATGAGGCTAGGGCTTGAACTCCCAGCCTCCTGGCTGAGTCCAGGGTGGAGGCAAGGGGAGAAAGCTGCAAACCTCCATGGGCCTCTTTAAGGTCATAAAGAATAGGAGTGTGTTTGAAGCACTTGCAAAGTTCTAAAGAGGAAGCCCAGAACTTGTAGGCTGTCTTGACCTTGCAGCGCATACTTAGCCTTCTCCATGGGTGGTTCCTGGGCATGGTCTGCATGGGAGTACTGGCTTTCTAAGAGTCTTTTCAAGCTCTCTGACCTTCCTTGCCCGTGGCAGAATGGAATGTCCTCTACAAAGACCAACCTGAAATCGTATCTGGGTTTGTGCCAAACAAGCTTCGTGACCTTGGCAACTCACTGTCCCTGAGCCACACCCTCCTCATTTGGAGCTAAGCTTCCCAATCCTTGATCCTACAGGGTTTAGCATACTGATTATGGGAGATAAGTTCTTTGGGGCTCCCCGGGGGCCAAATGGACTGGAACTGTCGAGGTGCAGTTACCCTCTTTCTGAGGCCCCAGCACTCTGAGCCAGGCTGGCCCAGGACAGACAGCAGTGCTGCCTGACGGACTTCCATTCCAGCAGGACTGAGAAAGTGGGAGGTGGAGCTTCTGGCAAGGCAGATAGTCCTAGGAGGAAGATAGCTGAGGTCTCCTAGGAACTGAACGCAGGTGTGGGGGAGGGGCAGGGAGCCAGGTGGATGGGCGGGCCAGGGAATGGAGTATCTACCTGAGGGAACATCATTCCCTGGGGGTCCAGCTTCCCTCCTCACAGGGCCTCAGGAGAAGCCAGGCAGGGCAAGGCTGACAAGCTCCAGCTGTTGCCTCCCAGGTCCATAAAGTGCCAGGGACTGCCAGCCTGGTAGAGCTGGAAGGACGGAGACTGTTGGGGACAGGAGGGAGAACCCTGGCAGATTAGTGGTTAGGGTGTGCCTAGGTGGATTAGCAAGTTAAGACTAAGTCTGGGGTCTGAGCAGAGCTGGAGCGGTACCTGGCATCACTGCCTAGCTGTGGGGCTGTGGGCAAATTACATCATGCTTCTGTCATGTGGTGGACAAAATGGGGTAATGCTGGCCTCCCCAAGGGGTTGATGCCTAGCACAGCTTAAGTCTTGGTGTTGAGGAGATGGTGACCAAGCAGGTTTGATGAGTCCATGGGTAAGGTCTGACCAGACAGAGCGGTTTAGGAGCACCTGGAGTGTTCACAAACATTGAACCACACCCATTAGCTCATGTAAAGATCCAACAGCCTTGGGAGATGGCGATGACCACAGTGTGTGTTTCAGAGTAGCTCAGAGACTGATGCATAGCCATAGTCACACAGCCAGGTGACCAAATAGCCAGGCATCCTGCCCAATCCTCGCCTAGCCAGGCCCAAGCTGTCTGTACAACAGTGCCTGAACAGAAGGTCAAGGCTACCAGAAAGGGGGTCCAGCAGAAATTCTACACCAGGTTTGTGTGGAGGTCAGGATGGTAGAGCTGTGAGCTCACCATGCATTCCTCCGTCCTCGGGGCAGGGCTGTCCTAGGTAGTGCCCCTGAGGACACTGATCGGCACAGTAGAAATTAAGATGAGCACATGGGCAGGGTGGCTGAGGTAAAGCCAAGAGGTACTTGAGAGCCAGCAGGCCTATGGTACTTAAGCAAGCTTCTCCGGCTGTTCGAAGCTGTCTTCCTGCCTGTAAATGGGGAATATGTGAGAAGTTGTATAAAGATCTCACAAGGTAGGGGCTTTGAGGACAGAGCTGAGCCAGGTGGGTCAGAGCGACACAGGAGTAGCTCTGTGATCTCCTTGGATAATCCTGGGGTCAATCTCCAAAAAATCTCGGGTTTATAGGCTTATGCCTGTCCTGGGCATCCCCACCTCAGCCTGTTCTGCTTTCTCTGGCCAGGCCTTCCCACAAAGGGTTAACAGTCCTCTCTACCTGCAGTTGCATTTTAAAGACACGAAATTAAAGCAGGTAATTTATTCTCCCCACACACGAAAGAGCAATTAGTTCTAAACAGGGCTTAATCAGTCACCGCGAGATTGATTTCTGGAGCCCTGGGTTTTCGGGCTCCTGGCTCCATGCCAGGCTGGGGAGGGAGGGGGGCGGACAAATGAGCCGCGGCAGTGGCATGAGCCCTTACATAATCTGCTGGGGGGCCCTCACAGTCTAGCCAGCCCCTCCAGAGGTTTGGCTGAGTTTGGAAGATGGGGTCCTGCTCTCCTGCTGAGGGATGGCACAGGTTCAGAATAGAACTCAAAGTGGGTCTTATCCCTTAAGCACCAGCCCTGCCCTCTGGCAGTGTCTACTTGAGAGGTGGGGCAGGACAGGGCAGGGCCAGGGCATATTTGGGGTAAAGGATAGGATTCTGGGTTTGTCCAACGTGGTACTTAACCTGCACTCTCTTTTTACCTCCCTTTACCCCATCGATCCTTCTGTTTCCTCCCATCCTTTTCTGATCCCCCCTCCCGTTTTTTCTTCCCATCACTTCCCCCTGGATCCCCTTGGCTTCCTCACTTTCCTCCTCCTGCCACCCATGCCCCTATCTCCGGCCACAGAACTCCATCCGGCACAACCTGTCGCTGCACACCCGGTTCATCCGCGTGCAGAACGAGGGCACTGGCAAGAGTTCATGGTGGATGCTGAACCCCGAGGGCGGAAAGACCGGCAAGACCCCGCGGCGCCGGGCCGTGTCCATGGACAACGGGGCCAAGTTTCTGCGCATCAAGGGCAAGGCGAGCAAGAAGAAGCAGCTGCACCTGCCGGAGCGGAGCCCCGACGACAGCCCTCCGGGCGCACCGGTTCCAGGGCCCCTGTCGGCCTCCGCCAAGTGGGCCGCCAGCCCGGCCTCACATGCCAGCGACGACTATGAGGCGTGGGCTGACTTCCGCGGCAGCGGGAGACCCCTGCTCGGGGAGGCGGCCGAGCTGGAGGACGACGAGGCCCTGGAGGCCCTGGCACCGTCCTCGCCACTCATGTACCCAAGCCCTGCGAGCGCGCTGTCGCCCGCCCTGGGCGCGCGCTGCCCGGGCGAGCTGCCGCGTCTGGCCGAGCTGGGAGGTCCGCTGGGCCTGCACGGTGGCGGCGTGGCTGGGCTGCCGGACGCCCTGCTGGACGGCGCGCAGGACGCGTACGGGCCGCGGGCACGCGCCGGAACCCCCTCCTACTTCGGCGGGTGCAAGGCGAGCGCCTACGGCGGGGGCGGGGGATTCGGTCCGCCAGCCCTGGGCTCGCTGCGCCGCCTGCCCATGCAGACCATCCAGGAGAACAAGCAGGCCAGCTTCGTGCCGGCCGCCGCGCCCTTCCGCCCCGGGGCGCTGCCCGCGCTGCTGCCTCCGCCGCCGCCCGCACCGAGGCCGGGCCCGC